CTCGAAGACTCATATTACCATATATTATCAAAAAATGGTAACCCATGCTCATAATGAAAAGTTACTAATGCATGTTTTCCAAGATAGCCTTACTAGCTTCGTTGTTAAGTGGTATGTCCAGTTAAAAATAACTTGTATCCATTTTTGGAATAATATGACTCATGATTTTATCAATCAATACTGACATATTATGGATTTGACTTTTAATCGATTATCTTTGCAGAATATTAAAAATAAGACAAATGAGTCCTTTAAAGAATATACCTAAAGATGGAAGGATTTAGTCTCTCAAATGCAACCTCCTTTAATTGAGAAAAAAACTATAGTATTGTTTGTTAGCACTCTAAAATCGTCCTATTATGAAAAGATGATAGAGAATGCAACAAAGAATTTCACCGACATAGTGATCTCTAGCGAAATTATTGAGAGTGCCATTAAGAATAGCAAGTTAAAAGGAAGAGAAGCATCCATTAAAAGAGCCTTAAAAAAGAAGGAGACTGAAACTCAAGCTATGAGCTTTGATAGATAACTGTTCAGGGGATATCAATCCTACAGACAATAAAGCTACTCTTAAAATTATTCCATTGTGAATAATGTTTACCAGTACCAACCGAATCTGCAGCAGCTCTACCCCTAAAGCTTTTGATCTCTTTTTAGACCATAGATTGCCACATATGGCCCCAACACTCAACCTTCTCCTAGACCTCAAATCTAACTAGCTAGTCCTACGAGTGGTGCACGAGAATAACGAACTATTCATGAAAAATTGATATTCGATCCAATTCCCATGACATATAGAAATTGTATCGAAACTCTATAACAATCATCTAATCACTCATAGTCGAGTAGAGCCACCTAAACCACCATACCCCAAATTGCATGATCCCACAGCCCATTGTGACTATCATTATAGGGTTGTTGGTCATTCCACCAAAAATTACACTACCCTTAAACATAAAGTGCAATGATTGATCAATAATGAAATGCTCAATTTTGATACAAAAAGAGAAATTATAGTAAATATTAATGGCAATCTTTTACCGAATCATCATGTGAATGCTCTAAGTGAAGAACAAGAGCATTATCTGAAAAAAAAGGTAACAGAGGTCAAGACCCCTCTCAGTCAGCTATTTGATGTTTTATGAAAAGCTGACATGATACAGCCAGTCAGTCCATATACTTATCATGAAGTATATGTAACAGGCAAAGGCTATAAATATCATAGTAAGGCATCTAGCAACTCCGTTGAAACTTGTGAGCAATATCACCACAAGGTGCAAAAGCTCATGGATTCGTACCAAATTGAATTCTATAAAGAAATGTATGATTCAAATAATGCTGAAGTGTCTATAATCGACTAGTCATCAAAGCTATTCCTAAAACCATTAACAATTTATTGTGGAAAAAGCCAAGGCCAATCGTAGACCAATTTGCCCCCAAGCCTGTAACTTTTAAAGTCTCTGCTCCATTCCCTTATAAGAGATAAGGCTATGCCATGAAAATATGGTTGTGACACAATAGTCTAGGGGCAAGAAAAGAATGTCTCCAAGTCTGATACTATCAATATAACTAGTGTAGGGGGTATTAAATGGAAGGCACTACACTCTAAAAATGTTGAAAAAAGCTAAAAAAAAGAAAATGTCAAGGTAGACAAAGAACAAAATAACCCAGAAGTGGTACCTGAAGAGGACTGCCTAAAATTGGTGTCCAAAAAAGAGGCATATGAATTCCTAAGATTAATAAAACACAGTAAATATTCAATGGTGGAACAATTAAATAAGATGTCAGAAAGAATCTCATTATTGTCATTGCTATTGAATTCAAAACCATATCAAAATGCCTTGTTGAAAATGTTGAACCAGGTATATGTGGCAAATAATGTATCAGTCAAATATGTGAATCACTTGGTTGTAAACTTGGTTATGCCAAATCACATATCTTTCAGTGACGATGAGATTCCTCTAGAAAGAAGGGGAAACACTAAGGTTCTACATATTACTGTTAAATGTAAGATCCATATTATAGCTAAGATCCCCATCAATAATGGTTATGCTATTAACGTCATGTTTATGTCAACCTTGGTAAGGCTACTTGTTGATTATTCACACATGAAAGATAGTCAAATGGTTGTCTAAACATTTAATGAGACTAGACGAGAAGTTCTGAGAGATATAGAGATGCCCTTGCAAATTGGCCCTTTACTTTCAATATAAAATTTCAAGTGATGAACATCTCTCCATCTTATAGCTGCTTGCTAAAAAGACTATGGATTCACATGGTAGGTACTATTTTTTTTACCCTGCATCAAAAGATCAAGTTCAATGTGGAAGGACAGTTGATAGTAGTGTTTGGAGAAGAAGACATGTTGGTAACTCAGCCTTTGAATGCTCTATATATGGAAGCTACTGAGAAAGTGATAGAATGTTCTTATCGGTCCTTTGAGTTGGTTAACTATGTAGGCAAGGGACCCAAAAGCCAACAATGGTCAAAGATAGTGACATGTCAGGTTATCAATAGAGGCTAGTATCCCAGAGTATCACTAGACAAAAATTTATAGAGGATAAAAGAGCCTCCAACGATGATGGATAACAAGAAGAGACTGGGCCTTAGTTATGAAATTGAAAACTGAAGAATTAAGGGGAGACAAGCCATCAAGACAATAAGGATCATCCCACACTTATACGAGACATTCAAGCTTGAAGGATTCATCTACCTAATTATAAAAGATGATTTGGAACAAAGCATAGAGAAAACATTTGTTGAGTTGTCCATCCATACGATTAGAGATAATAGTGGGTGCAAGCCAAAAACATGGGTTCATCCTTGCCCACTAAGTTATGAGTTGAATAACTAGAGCATTATCAAAATACCTGCTATCCTTGAGATCGATTCAATGTAATTAAACATCCCAATAGCTTATAACCAAGGCCTTATGGTGGTCTTTCTTGTTTGGGCCATTTATCTATTATTATTTTAATAAAATTAAAAAAGATTCATTTTTATTCATTTTTTCTAGTACTTTTTTATTTTTCCATTTTTCCATACATTTCGCTAATACATCCCTTTTCATTCAATTTTAAGTCTTTAAATGAACAGGAAAATAATCATGATAATGCTCAAGGGGTTAATTTTAAAAAATCAATTAACACTGATGCACTTGATAATGAAGATGATTTGGAAGAATATGTTATCCCTCCAAACCTAATGAGATTGGTTGAGTAAGAAAGTAAACCCATTGAACCTCATCAAGAGACAACTGATTTAGTGAATCTAAGAGATGAGAAAAATAAAAAAGAGGTCAAAATTGGTACTTCACTTTCATTGAAAGATAGGCAACGTTTGGAAAATCTACTTCAAGAATTCATAGACATATTTGCTTGGTCTTATCAGGATATGTCAAGCTTATTAGAGCATAGACTACCCCTAAAGCCAGAATGTAAGCCAATCCAATAAAAACTGAGGTGAATAAAACCTGAAATGCTACTAAAGATCAAAGAAGAGGTAAGTATCTAAAGTGGGTAGCCAACATTGTACCAGTTTTTTAAAAAGATGAAAAAGTATGAATGTGCATAGATTGTCATGATTTGAATAAGGTTGGCCCAAAGGATAACTTTTTTCTACCTCATATTGACACATTGGTGGACAATATGACTAAATATTTAATGTTCTCTTTTATGGATGGGTTCTCATGGCATAACCAAATAAAAATGGTTGCAGACGATATGGAAAAAACCACTTTTGTGACTATGTAGAGAACGTTTTGCTACAAAGTTATGCCCTTTGGTCTAAAGAATGCTGGGGCAACATACCAAAGAGCTATGGTTACATTTTTTTATGACATAATGCACAAAAGATTGAGGTATATATAGATAATATGATTACAAAGTCTTAAGAAGGCGAAGATTATGTTACCAACCTCAAAAAGCTATTTGAGAGGTTGAAAAAATTCTAATTCAAGTTGAACCTAGCTAAGTGCACTTTTGAGGCAAAGTTAAGGAAGTTGCTAAGCTTTGTGGTCAATGAAAGAGGGATTGAAGCTGACCCTGACAAAATACAAGCAATTCAAAATTTGTCGCCTCTCAGCACGTCAAAAGAAGTTTGAGATTTTCTGAGTAGATTGAACTATATTTCTTGATTTATATATCAGTCGACCTACAAGTGTGATCCTATATTTAAGCTTTTACATAAAAATAACCCTAGAGAATAGAATGAGGAATGTCTAATGTCTTTTGATAAAATTAAGCAATATTTTTCCAATCCTCTAGTGTTAGTGCCATCTGTTTTAGGGAGACCATTAATCTTATATCTCACGATATACAAAAATTCAATGGGATGTATATTGGGATAGCAAGATGAGTCTAGCCAAAAAGATAGGGCTATTTATTATCTAAGTAAGAAATTCATAAAATATGAATCCAAGTATTCCTCTTTGGAGAAAATATGTTGTGTATTAGCTTGAACTGCCCAAAGACTCAGACAATATATGCTCTATCATACCACCTGGCTCATAGCAAAATTGGATCAATTAAATACATCTTTGAGAAACCCTATTTGTCTAAAAGAATTGCTAGATGAAAAGTAATGCTCTCGAAATACGATATCATATATGTAAATCAGAAGGTAATAAAAGGGAGTGCCATAGCTAAGTTTCTCGTAGATTATGTTGCAAAAGATTATGAGCCAATGAGATTAAAATTTCCTGATGAAGATTTGATGGTTGTGTCTTAGCTAGAAAAGAAAGAGCATGTAGCGAGCCATTGGAAAATGTATTTTGATGGAGCTACTAATGCCTTAGGACATGGAATTGGGGTAATTTTAATCTCTTCAGAGGAACAATATTATCCCATAACAATGAGGTTGAATTTCAATAGCACAAATAACATCACTGAATATGAGGCATGCGCCATAGGTCTACAAGCTGCTTTAGACAAAAAATTAAAGCATTAAAAGTATTTGAAGACTCAACTCTAGTCATATATCAGTTGAAAAAAGAATGGAAAATGAGAGATTTGAAACTCATTCTATACCGTAAGTATATCTTAGAGTTGATCAAGCAGTTTGAAGATATTCAATTTGATCATTTACCTCGACAGAAGAATATGATTGTTGATGATTTAGCTACTTTAGTAGCAATGGTTCGAATTAATGATAATGCTGACATTCAGCCCATCAAATTAGATATCAAGGATATGCTTGCTCACTGCTCTAATGTAAAAGAGGAAGAGGATGGGAGGCCCTGGTAATATGATATCTTACAGTACATTAAAAATTAGCAATATCCTGCCCAAGCAACAAAGAATGATAAAAGGATTATCCGAAGATTAGCTATGAGCTTTTTCCTGGATAGAAATGTTTTATCCAAAAGAAGTTATGACCAAGTATTATTGAGGTGTGTAATAAGGTCAAGGCTAAGAAGATTATTGAAGAGGTACATGATGAGATATGTGGGACACATACCAATGGACATATGATGGCAAGACAAATCATGAGAGCATAATATTATTGGTTGACAATAGAGAGTGATTGCATTGACTACGCTAGAAAATGTCATAAATGCCAGATTTATACTGATAAGATCCATCCTTCGTCATTTACTTAACATGTTTTAGCACCACCCTGTCCATTTTCTATGTGGGGCCATGAATGTCATTGGCCCTATTATCCGAAAGCTTCTAATGGGCATAGGTTTATTTTTGTGATGATAGATTACTTCACAAAATAGGTGGAAGCAACAACCTTTGGAAGTGTGACACAATCTGTGGTCTGCAAGTTTATTAAAAGAGAAATCATCTATAGATATGAACTTTCAGAGAGAATTATTTCAGATAATACCAAGAATTTGAATAGCAAGATGATGCAAGAGATATGTGCCCAATACAAGATCAAGCACTATAATTCGACACCATACCATTCGAAAATGAATGGGACAGTTGAGGTAGCAAACAAGAATATAAAAAAAATTTTAAAAAGATGATCGAGACCTATAAGGACTGGCATGAGAAGTTATCATTTGCACTTCATGCATATCGAACGTTAGTGCGTACCTCTACTGAGGCAACCCCATTTTCTTTGGTTTATGGGATGAAAGCTATATTACCAGTGGAAGTAAAAATCTCATCTTTGAGGATCCTAAAAGAAGTTAAATTAAAAGAGGCTAAATGGGTTCGAGAGCGCTATGAATAATTGAATTTCATTGAAAAAAAAAACTAACAGCATTATGCCATGGTCAGTTATATAAAAAAAATGATAAGGGCTCATGATAAAAAGGTTCGACCTTGTTGTTTTCGAGAAGAAAAATTGGTCTTGAAAAGAATTCTTCTAAGTCAGCATGATAATAGAGAAAAATAGACTTCGAATTGGAAAAGACCATATGTCATGAGACGAGCTTTCTCTGGTGAAGCATTGATATTAGCTGAGATGGATGGAAATGATTTATCTCATCCTATAAATTCTGATGATGTGAAAAAGTACTATGCTTAAGAGAAAATGAAAAAAATAAAAGAAAAAAATATAAAAAAAAATTAAAACAAAGAAGGAAAAAAAAACTCAAGGTAAAACCCCCAAAGGGCGGTTTGAGTCAAAATAGGGTATCTAAGTTGAAAACCTGAAAAGGTAACTTAGATAAGAAGAATACAGCATCGGATTTAGAAATTCATTAGTAAAAAAACTAGCAGGTTTTGAAAAGCTCTAAGTTATTGAGTGCATTAGGTGGTTGAATTTTTCAAAAAAGACTTCAAGATATGTTATCATGATTGTTTGATAGTTTATTTTAAGGCCTTGTCCTCATACCCATCTTTGTAATTCTTTCTTTGCCAATTGACCAAAGTTTGCTATCATTCCAATAAAAGGCATTCCATTTCATTCTTTATATGTCTCTTCTGTTGATTATTTCTTAGCTATTTTTATTCCTTTCTCTTCAATACCTTATAATAGGGGAAATGTATGACTGCATTCTTACTTTTTAAGATTGAAATAATGATTGATAAATGAATAATAGCATGAAAGATTGTTACACTACATCGGAAAGGTTAAAATCAATAAAGGCAAATTTGAAGTGTTCAATTCCTAACACGGATATTGAATTTCTCGAAAAAGAGAAGATGAGAATTAAATAGGAGAAATGATCTAGAGTTACATTGATTTGGCCATAACACTCGAAGGTTGAAGGGGATTTGGGGCCCAAGAAAAAGAGACTTGAGAAACTTGAGTACCACAAGATCTCATGACATTATTAATGTCTGTATTCCATGCATCGCATTGGCATCATTGTTTGAATAATACATGCACATAATCTGATAAGTTAATACTCTGTTTGGACATGCATGGCACTATGAGGATCTAGGTGATTGCATTTACGTCATTAAGAAAGCATTTGCATCTTTCATCATGATATTCATTCATACAAAGTTTTAGGTCACCTGGAAAGAAATTGTGAACTTTTTGATAAAAATCTGTGAATTTCAAAGAAGAATCTTTGAGTTTCAAAGGAGAATCTCTAAGGTGTGAAACCCTAAAGTTCATTAAATGTAAATCTTCGAACCCGAATGAAAAGCTTTGAACTTTTAGATGCGAATCTCTAAAATTTTGAGTGAGAACCTTTGAACTTAGATGTGAAACTCTAAGTTTTATGGCATGTGAGCCTTTGAACTTGAATGAAAAGCTTTGAACTTTTGGATGTGAATCTCCAAAATTCAAATGAGACTCTTTGAATATGGATGCGAGTCTTATAATTTACGAATGCAAAGCTTAAGATCTTGCAAAACTAAATTCTTATGAAACTAAAATTTTGAGAATCAAGTTTTAGTGAATCCTACGAAGTTAAAAGGTTATTGCGAATTTAAGCCTTTGACTTTTGGACTCAAATTATGAAACTTTGAGTTTCCATTATAAATTCCATCAGATATGATCTATGACTCATTCGGTCATAATTGTCAGTTGAGCCATTTATTTTTCAAAGTTCGTTGCCTCTATTCAAATGAGCCATTTATTTTTCAAAGTTCGTTGTCTCTATTCAGAAGAGCAATTTATTTTTCCAAAGTCATGTTTTTTCCTTTGTTTAGAGGAGTTTTGTTTATTTAAAAAAAAAGGCATGAATCTATTGGGATAGTCACGTGCAAGGTGTATACGTCTTTGCGCGATTCCTGTTGCACGAGAAACAAGCAAAGAGGGGCAGTTATAGACACTAAATTTGGTCCAAGCCCAGATCAATTGGGCTTGGTCCAAATATGGCAGAATGGCCCAATTTTAATTTTATTTATTTATTTATTTATTTATTTGTATTTTTTGCTTTTTATTTTTTAGTTTTAAATTGAGTTTAATTTTATAGATAATTTTTCATTTCCTTCTAAAAGATTGAGTGGTAGGATTGGACTAGGATTCAAGGATTGAATGCCAGTCAAATAAGAAAGATCAAAAACCTTTCTGATCAATGCCTATAAATATAGATTTAAACAGGATCACAAAAGACACGAAAAGAAGAAAACAAAAGCAAAAAACTCAAAGGTGTTAGTAACAATCGTAAAAGCAATTTAGGAATTTTCTTCGAATTTTTTAGGTTTTTTTTTTTGACAAAACTTGAATTTTTCGACATGTTTTTCCAGATTTCGGTGTGACTTTTCAAAATTTGATGAAAATTCAATCGAATTTTGGGTTCTATTCTAGAGAGAGGAGAAAGAAATGAAGAAAAAAGAGAGACGAAGAAAGAAAAATCTAAAGGAAGAATGGGTTTCAGCCTTTTATATCCTTACAAAACGACATTGTTTCAACGTTAATAAGACCCCAGGATCCGCGCATTTCAATTCGGGTGACCCGACCCATCGCGTTAACCCACTTCAACCCGCTTCACAGACCCTTCTACTGAGCAGAGCCAATTGCCCCCGAGTCGCGTTTTGAGCTGTGGTTTCTGTCATAAGTCGAGCCAATCACAGTCGCAAGCCGAGCCGTTTCCATTTTTTTGGTATTTTTAATTTTAATTTTAATTTTTTAAAAACTTATTTTTTTATTTATGTGTTTATTTATTTTAAGAATATTTTTACATGATTTAATTTAATAAAAATAAAATAATAAAAATAAAAATTTTGGGAATAAATATTAATTATCCAATGATAGAATTTATAAAAATTTCAAATGATAAATTTTTATAAAATTTCTAGGTGAGAAATTTGTCTAACTTTATCCCAAATTGTGGAATAATTTAGATAAAGTTTCAATAATAATAATTAATATTTATTTTCAAACAAAAAAATGAAAAAATATAAAAATTATGGGAATTAAATACAAATTACCCAATGATGAGATTCTTAGAAATTTCAAATGGCAAATTCCTAAAAAAATTTTAGGTGAGAAATTTCTTCTAAATTTAGCCCAAATTGTGGAATAATTTAGATGAAAGTTTCAATAAAAGTAATTGTATTCTTTTTCCAAACAAAAATTTTGGTTGAAAATATGTGATAATTATCCAAGGATGAGATTATTAAAAACATCAAATGGCAAATTTCTAAGAAATCTCTAGGTGAGAAATTTCCTCTAAATTTGGCCCAAATTGTGGATTAATTTAGATAAAATTTTAATAAAAATAATTTTCATATTATTTTCTTTCCAAGAAAAAAAAGAGAATAAAAAGAATCTCTAAATAGGCTTAAATGGTGAAAATTTTAGAAATTCAAAAAGAGAAAATATTTCTAATTTGGCCCAAATGGTAGAATAATTAGATATATTTTCAATAAAAAATAAAGCTAACAAAAATCTTCCAATGATGGAGCCTCTTCAATATATCAAATGGGATTCTTGAATACTCTTAAGGTGAGGAAGTATTTTTTTAAAAGTTCTACTAAATTGATGGAGAATCTTAAAAATTATTTCTAATGTTTAACTTAAAATTTAAAATCATTAGACTCAAAACTATAGGATGAATTCAAAATAATATGGTACCACCCTTTGGATAGGCATGTGGGGGTGCTATAACTTTTCTCACATGTAACCAAACTCCTGAACCATGTTCTGGTTAAAAGACACAAATTTATTCTTTTAAGGACCCTTAGTCAAGCTTAAGAACTCCTTAAGAAGATAGATTCTTTAGGTGGCCAATCACACCTAGTAAAAAAGATTGGTTGCGACTCTATTCATTTGTTAAGTCTAGCTATAGATTTATGGATCTATATGTTATGACAACAATAATATCATATTTGATTTCAAAAATTCAATTGACATTAGTGAGCTTGCTGATGACATTGATTCTTA